GTTTCCATGTTGTGTTTGTAGTATTATAACTTCTTATAACAAACATGCTCCGCTTTCATAATCAGAGAAAAACCTATCCAGTTAAATAATAGCCATTTCAATGGGCAACGGAGTCGGTGGTACCAAGTGTGGGAGCAGGTGCAGGAGGCAGAGACGCCTACTCCCAGCGAGGGGTTGAAATCGGCATGATGTGGGGAGTCCCTGACCACGTCCAGACAAGGGGCAAAAGCATTCGCTCTTCGACATGGCTATTCCACGCCTGGAAACATGCTCTAGAGGAGTCGCACGTATGTCACACCCATGAAACAGCATGTCGATGGCAGCGCTGTTCGTGGTGGCAAACACATCAGAAACCTACTCGCGGGCCGGCATGGGGCCGAATAGATACATCGTGGCACGTTCACACAGAGGAAACCCCACCACAGTTAGAATGAATAGACCAACCCCACCTGTACTGACGGGAGTAAATCTCGAAAATAATGTTGCAATAAATAGCAATAAAGCGCTATGATGATGCGTAAGGTTTGATTCCATTTATGTGAAGTTTTAAAACACCCAAAGGATTGTTTTCTGTAAATCTACTGCTTATGGATCCAGGTATAAATGATGAAAATCTAAAAGTATGTGTGGGGACCATCGGCACTGCCCTCAGTGCGGCGGTTTTTCTGGGGAGGACGGGACGATCACGGGGTTTGGGAGGGAGACTGGGGGCCTTTGACTGTGTCTAATATTGTATCGCTTCAAAAAAAAATGACCCGAAGCCAGTGTGGCAAAGCTGGATGATGGGTCCATGGTGATCACCGTATTATTTTCTGCCAATCCGATGGGAGCGGAAGGTCTCAGCGCTTTACCTTGCTTCTCCCTGGCGACTTGTGCATCGAGGGCTTCTCATGTTTATTTTGTATTGCCGGTTCCCATCTCCACGAGAGCATAGAAGGCGGCAGAAGGCGTTATTTTCCTCGAAGATGGTGAAGGGTGTGGCGCATGCCGGGTGGAGAGGCACGCTGCAGGTGGGGCTGCAGGTGGGGCTGCAGGTGGGGCTGCAGGTGTGAAGCCTGGCAGGGCAGTGAGGGGACATCCACGTGAGAGGTGAGCTTGCCCGGGGGTAGCAGGTCGAGGGCAATGCACCTGTGGCTCCTTCACCTTATGCTGGGCAGAGAAGGGCCTGGAAGGAATGCTACCTGGTGTGCGGGAGTGGGGGGTTGGGGGAGTCAAGAGAAGGCGAAAGTTCCCGGCGGGAAGGGGGCCTGCAGAGCGCTGTGGCTGAGATGGCCTGGTCGATGAAGGTGGAAGGGACCCGCTAGGTTAGCCACATGGCTGTCGTCGGTGGCCTCGGTGGGGACAGTGTGTGCTACCTGGATGCAGCAGAAGAGGAGACAGAGACCCCGTCACAAAGGTCCCAGCAGCAGGGGCTGGTGTGTGAGGAGGGGCTCAGAGCTGCATCTGGAGTCTGGAGGCCCAGGGAACAAACAGGCCCGTTCTGCCTCTTGGTGCCACGGGAAAGCGGGAAAGCGTCTGAGCAGCTGGCCGGGGCAGGGGGAGGCAGGGAGGAAGGCAAAGGGCAGCGACGGGAGTGCGCAGCATCCGAAACACTTTCCAGAGGGCCCTCCCAAGTGTCCGCCAGCCCAGCTCCTCTGGGGCCACAGCGATTCCGGCCTGCAGGGCAGCCTGTCGGCCACCCACAGCCAGCCGCGCAGCCTTCCCTCCCACAGACACCGCCCTGTCCGGGGCCCACGCTCACCTCGTTCCTTCCGTGGGCACTGGAAGAAGTCACCTGGAGCCGGATCTGCTCTGTCACTTCCCAATGTGATCCTGGGCACCTGCTTGACTTCTCCAAGCCCAGGGACTCTGCTGTGGAAAGGGGGCGGCAAGACAGTGTTTACCCCATAAAATGAAGGGCAGACCAAATGGGGTCACACATCGAAAACGCTCATGAGAGAGGAGCAGCTCGGGCGGTGGCCGTGGCTGTTGTCCCTGGTGGGCAGGGTCCCCTGTGTGTGCTGGTGCAGCCCGGAGCAGGGGGCGACCTAGGAACACACGGCACTCGCTCCAGGGGCCCTTAGGTCCCCAGTCACCCTATCCCTCCCAGGTTCAGCCCCATCTCTCCCCCGCCCCCCACCTCCTGCTTCTGGGGCAGCCTTCTTGGAAGTGTCAAGTATACCTGCTGTCCCTCCCATGGGGCTTCTGTCCCCAGTCTCCCTCCTTCCTCCGCCCTGTTCGTGACACTTCTGTTGGCTGCTGGGGAGAACCCGACAGCCTCCCTCTCCACTCGCCTCATCATGGCACTGCCCTCAGGTATCCCGGCTCACCTGTCTCCCAGGCTCACCTGAGCTCTCCCACCGCACCCGGTGAGCCTTGCTCCCCAGCACGGGCAGCGCCTCCCACACGGCAGAGGCTTGCGGGACCGTGCCTCGGGCATCGCGCTAGGGAGGCCAGTATCCGACTTGAACATCTCTGCACAAATCAGATGCTACACAATTTTTGGTGTTGGCAGTGACCAGAAAAATGGCTGGGGATGGGGGGAGGGAGTGTCGATTCGATAAAGGACACCGTTGCCCTCCGGTCTGGGGCTCTGGGGAAACAGCCTGGTAAGCCATCGGAGGCTTCTGGAGTCAAACGCGGAATAGGGACGAGGTACGAAAAATCTATGCTCATTGAATGCAAAATGCAATTGCCTGTCAGCACAGGAACTGAAGTATCTGCCGCAAATTATATTTAAGACTCTATTGTCGCAGGCAGATTAGCTAATGCTTGATTTTAAGTACAGGCTCTAATGCTATTACTCCTGGTTAGCTCTGCCTGGCAGGTAACCTTGTGGAACAAATGACTGCATTGCTTGAATAACATATTTGATCAAACAGGACAATTCTTTCAAAAATTGAGTTCTCTGTGGCAATTTGAGACCCGTAATCAGCAAATTAGATGATTACAGCAGGGATAAAAATAGTCTTCTAACAATGTCCAAGGTATAAATGTGATTCGAATTTCAAAACGTGGTAGGAAAATGCACGACCGGGCAAATACGACCAGGCGCGATCGGATCTGATTTCTTCCGGTCGCTGCTCTGAGCTGGGGCTGAATTTCGCCCCCATAACCTCGTCTCTTCCATGTCTGAGTTGGAGGATAGAAATACGTCTCGCTCCGAGTTCCAGATCCTAAGGAGCGGTGCCCGAGACCGCACCGGGAAGTGGCAGAGCGGGTCCCAGGTCCGGGTGACGGCCTCCGGTGCCCGAGGAACAGGTGGCGTCAGTGTGAGCCCAGCATGGGATGGTGCTTCGCAATGAATGTGCCTCCAGTGCTTACAGTCACAGGGACCTCAGCAGCCCTTAATCCCCACCTGGCATGAATGGCCACCATGACAGTGAGCTGTCCACGCCCCACGTGGGACAGCAGCTCCGGAGACCCTTTGGTCCCCACCACCTCGAGGCCTTTCCGTTCTCAGGCACGGGGGACAGACTGAGGAGCCCTGGTGAGGTCTAGGGGTGGCTCCTGTGGCCGGGCGTGAGCTGACATGGGCGCTCTGCCTGCCTCACCCCGTGTCTGCACTGTTGCTCAGTGTCTCCACTTCTGACCCGAGGGTTACGAGGACCGCATCGCCACCTTCTCTGGGTCCTGCTCACACACCTCTGCCTTGGAGCATTTGTCGCCTGGGCTCACCACATCTGCCATTTCTACCCCGGGTGTCCGTTGGCTGTCCCCTGGGCAGATCCAGTGGACCCGTGAGGGCCCGATCGTACACTAGCGGATGGACAAAGCCTCCTCTGGAGGGGAAACTGAGTTTCACTTACCAGCGGCTGTCGGAATTTCTGGCAGGGCCGCAGAAAACACAGATTACTATAAACTTCACTCACTCGTTGGGACTTACTCTGTTAGCACAGATATCAAAAGCTGCCCATGGCAACAATGCCACTTACAATAAGTACAGATTTCCAGAAACGCAGCCTTCCGACAATTTTACGTATGAGGCAGCGTCATCACAGTCGGTAATTCTACGTGATGGCTTGCCAAACGGTCTATTAGTATTTACCTCGAACTCGCTTTCTAACCAGCGTTACCTCCCATTTGTCAAGATATCGAACTTTTAATGAAACTTAGAAAGCGGAAATGTTTTAAGCGCCCTGTTTTTGCATAGAAAATGTCAAATGTAAATTAACCACTTTTAGGATTTTTGCAAGTCACTTGCAAATGATCACGATGAGAAATTCACTACTTTTTAAGGTGAGCATCACTGCCTGAGATGGAAGAAATAATTAGCTAGGAGTATCGTCTGACTAAACACCATTACATGTGGATTTGTAATGCATTTGGGAACTTTATTAAAAATTGCCAGAACTATCATATCACAATGTTAAAAAGTACGGCTGCTCTCCAGCTTCATATAAATGTGACACGGATTTGAAATGGCTGTTTTTCGATTTCAGATCTTTTCCTTACAAAATGAGATAAAATGTCAAGTCGAAAATCAGTGGGATTCGTTTGCTCATTGAGCCTCGGTTTTACGAACTCGTACACACACCGAAGCAGTGAGCAAGTGGGTCGAGACTGGACGAGGCCACTGCTGGGACAGCTCAACGAAATGCCCATGACCTGCACACGCCAGGCCATCAAGCAGACAGCGACCCCGCCCGGCCACCGGCCACCCAGCGATGCCGTCGCTGGTCAGGCACAAGCACTGACACGGTGGCCTCGGCTGCATGTAAGTTCACGTTGCATTTTCCTCTTCAAAGCACAGTTTAAGGCCACAAAGTCAGCAAGTTCTCGGGGCTGAGCTGTGGGGAGGGCGCCGTGCAGGCCCCGGGTGAGGAAGGCCGGCTGGGAACCTCAGCCGCAGCTCAGGGGGCCTTGGGGGGCAGGCAAGGCCCCCCCGAAGTGCATTTCAAACATTTTCTCTTACATGTACATATGTTCTCAAAAAATTGGGCTTCAGGAGGGGTGAAGCTAGATGAGACCTTGACACAGACACACGCAAGGCCGACTTGCAACTTAAATCACCAGACACGGCTCGTAAAGCCAGCTGTCTCGAGGACAGGGCCACCTTTATTAAAAATGGATAGACGTAGCAGCACTTAGAAAACAACAGTTCATAAAAGGCATTGTACACTGTCAACTGGCAGTGGGCGGGTGGGCCCCAGCCGTGTGGGGTGCGGGCCCCGCATCGTGAGGCCCCCGACCGCCTGCTCCGCTCAACGCATGGGACCCAGTGCGAACTCCCGAGGGGGGCCGGCGCAGCAGGCCTTGGCGTCGCCTGTCACCCGTGTGAACAGGGGAGCGAGCCCAGCGGCGGCCTCCCTGGCAGCCCCTGGAGCTCGCTCTGGTGTCAGGAGGTGGCCGGTGTGCTTGACCCGCTCGTTGCAAAGCCCGAGCGTCCCGTGAGAGCACTCGTCCCCGCCGACGCCACCCCCAGACACGCCTCCGCCGCGCAGGGGTGCCCTCCCATTCTTGAGTCCGAGAGGCTAGCGCGGCCCATGGGGCGGACAGGCGAGGGCCTGGAACAGCCACTCCCGGACGCGCCACTGTCTTTGGAGGAGGCTGGTGTCATGCGGTCCCCTGCCCGTCGCTGTGCTTCTTACTGCTAGGTGGCGGGGTGAGGACCCCGGTGGGGAGGGGAGAGACCCGATTCTGTTCAGATAATATGGCTTTCTTCGCTTGGGCTTTGTCCTGCGGGCGAGAATGAAAGCGGGGCCGTTAGAGGGGGACTGTCCTCTCGGCGTGACCTGCCGCGCGCTCCCTCCTGTGGAGGCGTGGGAGGGAGAGACGGCCAGGCGCACTCCAGAAACCTCGCTCCGCACAGCGCTGAGACGCAGCCTCTCCTGACCACGACTCCCTGCCCAGTCCTCCCGGGCCACCCGGTGCCCGCCCAGGGAGAGGGGACGGGGCGTCGGCAGCTTTCGGAACCCGTGTGGGAACAGGAAGGGGACTGACCAGCAGGTCCAAGCTGTTCAGGTGGGTCTGGATGTTGTGGGCGTCCTCCGCGGGCACGCCCCGGAACTGCTTCAGTTTCGAGCTTCCTGTCTCCCTTATAACCATGGCAAACGGGACCATCCACTTGACACACTTCTCTACGTCACGCCACTGATACCCTGTGACGGAGACCGACAGGCTCAGTCCGAGGCCACCGAGCGGCCTGCAGGTGTAACCCACCTGTGAACGCACCTGAAACCTTGTGCATCAGTTCGGACGAAGAGAAATGGTACAAGGCAGAAGCAGCAAGGACGCCGTAGGGAAATTCCAGGCAGCCGACGTCCAGGACGCAGAGGTCTAACAGCTGCGGAGAGGAAGAGGACGCTGACACCGGCGGCCGACACACGGGCCCATGGGGTCGCGTGACCCGGCGGCGCGGCGGGCCCAGAGGTCGTGGCCACTTGCCTCTGCGATCTGTATGAAAATCTGCTGGGGGTACTGCGGCAGGAGCACTTCGTACACGTCGTTCAGGTAGGCCACCTGCAAGTAGACACTCAGCCAGGACACAATGGTCAGGGGACTTAAATGCCACTTCAGAGCCTAAGGGAAAACAGAGAGAAAGGGGACCCGCGGTTGCGACAAGAACATTGCTGCTCCCCGTCCTCTCCAGGGGCTCGAAGCGCGGCCGAGCACCACGCCGGCGTGTCCGGCAGGAAGACACCACGCCACGTGCACGCCACGGAGCGCGGAGGAGGCGTCACGCACGCAGGAAGGACCGGGACTCTGCCTGCCGCCCACCTTCATGATGATCAGCTCCATGGTGAGGATGTCGTCGCCGGAGCAAGCCCCATCCGTGACGTATGCAAACTGGTGCAGCTTTGGAGGGTATATCTCCTGAGAGGACACAAAAGGGAGGGAGACACGACTCCAGAAGCCCGCCTCCGACCGTCTCAACTCACAGCGAACCCCGAAACCGCGCTTTCAGCCTAGCAAAGGGAAGGGGAGGGCACCCGAGCGACTCCGCGGCCCAGGCCACTGTGACTGTGGAAGCAGCGAAACATCCCCCTCGCCGATCACTCATTCAGTCGATCAATGACACTTTCGGTCATTGGGAATAATTTTGAAATTTTCACCTTTTCAATACTTTTTTTTTGCAACGTGTTTACAAGTTAGACCCGTTCACCTTCTAATCACACCAAAATCTCAGTCCTCTCAGGTCAAGGTTTAATATTTCTGCTTAAAGTAACTGAACAACCTAAGCATTTTATATACTCACTGCTTCTCTTTCTTCTTGGCTAAGTTCTAGCATTTTCCGCATGTGTCTTAACTTTAATGGGCCTCAGATGAGAGAAACGCAGGCTATCCGTTACAAACGAGTAGTTCACCTCGTCCCCAGTTCTCAGGGGAGCTCAAGAAACAGCATGTGCCACCTAACGAATATTTGAAAGTCATTTACCTCAAGTTTGGCAGCAATAAATAAAGACGAAATCCCAATAAGCTGTAAAAGCGTTTTTACGACGTCTTGTTGTGTCGCCATATATCGATCAAAGAAATCCTGCGCCAGGTAAAATGTCTCTCTGTGAAGTTTGTAGACTTCGCACACCTGAAAAAATATTAAGTTTAGAACAGTTACTTGAGAAAAAAGTAACCAAAAAGCTCGCCGTGTGTTCTGGTTAAGTCAGTACTAATGAACGGAAGGAGAACCTGCTTTTCTGCCCGATGGCTCCCTCCCCTGTCCCCAAGCACACAGTGAAAAGCGGGGACCCGGGCCAGAGGACGAAGCGGTCTGTGTCCTGCAATAGTTCACGAGCGAGTTTTCACAGCCTGCTGAAAGCACATTTTCATGAAAACACTAGGAATTTTCTCAAAGAAAAAAAACCCTCTATAGGTTTCATTCTGGCTTGAGGAAAGTCACAACTGGCAACCGCGGGAGAAAGTAAAAAAGCCAGAACATGCGTTTCCTTACAGATGATGTCACGTCCGAAACAAAGTGAAGCTTCTTTAAATGGAAACTCAGAGGCCTAGGTTCTAGTTCCGGCTCTCCCTGGACACCCCTCTTGTCCCAGACCGTCCCGACTGCAAAGGTGCTGCCTCGCTGACCCCACTCATGGGGCAGCTGCGACAGGGCTGAGAAGACCAAGGACACGTGAGAGCCCAGGTCCCCAGCAGATCGCGTCACGCACATGAGCCTGCCACTCCCAAACGGGCCTCCCAGGTAAGCCCTCCCTGGGGGAACCAGGAGAGACGGCCCAGGGACAGTGACGGAAACGAACAGGGAACTTTGTGATTGCCAGAGGGCAGTGGCCCTCGGGCAGCTGGAGCCGCGCGGGTCCACGTGCTCAGCGGTTTGCGCAGTGAACGCGCACAGTGCTGCGGACGCGTTTTCCTCATGATCGTCACGTTCTCTTTGCCCTGGGCCACGTTACTGGATCACAGCACGTAACGCGCGGCGCACAGAACACGTGCTGAGCGACCGCTGGTCATCAGACCGGCTCCCGGTCAACAGCGCGCTGTCGGTAGCTAAGTTTTTGGGGAGTCTTTGGGGTGTTGAAGTGACAGTTGGAATTTCAACTATCGTTAGCGGTCACTGGATCTCCACAGTCCAGGCGAGCTCCCCTCAGCCGTGCTCATGGAGCAACGCGTTAGAAACCAGACCCTGGCCTCCGAGGAACCAACGCAGCCCGCTTCGCCCAGCTCACAGCGTCACCGCAGACTAGCCTGCTCGCCAGCTGCAACTCAGTGCCGTCCCGCTGAAGACATAAAGGTCACCGTTCTTTTCTACCGTTCACGGTGTTACTGACATTTTGTGTCGAACCTCGGAGAAACACATTCCTCTCAAGCAGACGGCATCAGTTGCGTTCTATGAAACGGAGCCTCTTGGCCCAGCGCCTTGGGAGCTGAAGCGCGAGGATGAAGCGCGCACACCGTCCACGCTGCAAGGAACCGTGCGTCCCCTGGAGCGCGCAGACGGGACCTTTGCCACGAGGCGCTGCGCTGGGCAGCTGCAAGTCGGCAGCCCGAAGCAGGCCCGCCGGCCGCCAGCACAGGAAAATGCAGCCGTTGATGATCCAGGGGACGGACGAAGCGAGCGAGCTAAGAATGGGAGACACGGCGATCTCCCCGGGCCTGCTGCGCAGCGGGTGCCCGCCCCATACGCAGTTCTAGTCCGCACCAGCTCCACAAGGGGAGAGCTGCCAGAAAATGCCGAGGAGAAAACCAAGGCTCACAGCTGAGTGGCCTGCCTGAGGCACGCTGGCGGCCAGTGGCGAAGGGGATCTGATCCTGGGATGAGCACTGAGGGAACACAGCGCAGGTGGCTCATCGGGAGTCGTCAGATGCAGCCGCCACGTGTACGCCTTCGTAAAGCAATCCGGCCGAGCTGTCCTTCCACGGCACGGAGGAAAGGCCCCCTCTCGCCACCTAAGGCTTACGGGTGTCCAGGAAAGGTCCCTAATCAAGGCCCGGCTGAGCCGCCCCCAGCTCCCCCAGAAAGTGGTGCGCTCCCCACACAATACGACTCTATAATAAACATTTATCCATCTCCATTTGTAATATTTGTTCTTTTGACCAATTGTTGCAGAGAACCGTGATTGTGGTCAACAAAGGATCTGACCGATACATTTTGTTAGTTAAAAAGGAACAATGTGCTCTCTTAAAGTTAAAGGTAAGTTTGTTCATAGTTTTAAAACCTAAGACTGGCTGTCAAATTGCCATTACCTGCACTGCCCTGGGCACACCTAAAAGCAACGTAATCAGCCAAGGTCGACTACCAATTTCTCCAGTTAATTGGAAAAGACAACCTTTGCAACTATTGGAACTTCGATTAAAAGACAATTCGATGTCAACTTAAAAACATCTAAGGGGCAAAGAGACTTCAGAAACTCTTTTCAGGACACATGCAAGCGACAAGTTAGACCAAGCAGTGTATGTGCCACAGCTTCAGAGACTCGGAATGGCAATGGGCTCGAACTCCCAGCTGCAGAGGATTCTAGAAACAGTGCTTCCCGCTAACAGGGAGGCCAGCTCACCTCCATCAGCCAGTCCAGAAGAATCGCTCGCATTTTCGGCTGCAGGAGAGGGTGCCGCTGTAAAAAGTGCTTGTCCCTTAAGTATGTCCTTTCCTTGTTTAACATGATTTTCCAGACCTCGTCTCGATTTGCCCAGCTACAAAAAACAAAACCAAGCAGGAAAACAGGAGACGGGGTCAGTGGGCCACACCGCCGCCCGCCGCCGCCGGGGGGCACGGGGGGCCCAGGCAGCCCGCTTACTTCAGCACAGGCAGGGGTGGGGCTCGCGCTGGCCTGGTGCCCTGAGGCTTGTGCCCGGGGCTTGGGCACACCAGCTCATCCTCTTCTTTGTCAGGTGTGGGGATCAAGGAGCAGGGGTTTTCACAGTCTGGATTACTGTCCCACGGCTGGAAAGGAAAAGCACGTTTCTAAATGTTTGCCGTAAACCAGCCGGTTTTACATTCGCTGTTTTGTAGAGCGGCCAGTGATTCGCACTGGAGAGCGGCTCCCGGCCTGGACTAAGACGGAGGTGGCGAGCGAGAGCCGCAGGGTGACCCACGCGTCCGTTTCACTAGTGACACCCAAGGAAACTACAAGGTCGGGAGCATTTTATCCTCCACGTTATCACTGTCACAGGAGGTGCCTGACAAAACGCAACATGCAAACAACCAGCACCGAAAAAAAACCACAAATCCACCTGCAGCTTCGGTAAGAAAACAGGCGTGACCACTGAAGCGCACTGTGGGACCACTCAGTCACTGTTCGAAGATTTGTTTAACAAGTACGACCAATTTGAAACTTCTTAAAAACAGAAGACAGAACTTTCCAATAAAAAAACTGCATAAGCATTCATTCACAAGTATAAACGACCAAAAATATAAAGTGCCACCTATAATCAGTCTCTCCATTCTAGAACGATGTCACGTCAAACGCGACATCTTCCTTTGGTTGCAGGACTAGCCAAAGATATTACACAACAGGGACTTCTAGTTTTCCCTAACTCGAAACAAAACAAAGAAAACATCTGCCCAGTTAACACCAGATCAAGCAGTGGTCACAGGTCATACTAAGTGCACGGAGACAGAGCCTAGACCCCGGAAGACCCCTGAATCACGCCCCAAAGGCCGACACTTAAGACTCAACTAACTTGCCATCATCAAACACCTGACGACTCATGCCAGGAGCGATGCCTCAAATGCTCCAGCACGGCCTTGCAACAGGACATCTGAACTCCCCTGTGCGCTCCACACCCCACGTCTAGGCTCCGTCCGTCACCTCGTATTGGACCCCCTTTACCCTTTGTCCCCCACCCCCTTCCTCTCTGGTACCCACCGTTCTGTTGTCTATATATGATTGATTTTGAAAACTATAAAATATTGATTTTGTTCAAGATATGGCAGGTAACAGTCCTGCGGCATGGAAGCCGAGTGTGACACTCTTGGCATTTTTTTTAAAGCAAAGAGATCACTGATGTTGACACAGGAGACAACTGAGATGACAAACGATCATGGACACTGGAAAGTATGGTACAGGGTGGCTGTCCCAGCCCACCAGCCACTTTCAGGGTCCCGAGAAGAGCAAGTCGGGACGGAGCCCTCGGCTGTGCCTCGCTACTGGGCCTGGCGTGCGGAGTAACCACGCTGGCGCCTGCCAACGGCGGTAGGAGGGCAGGCAGCCTCCGCCTCCCTTGCTGGGACGGTGCGCTGGGAGCACTTCCTTGGCTCCGATGGGGTCATGGTACCACCGCCGCCCGCAGGAGTTGGGGGCCACGTCTGCGGCTGGAGGGTGGGAACTGCTGAGAGCAGGCCTTGGAGGCGAACTGCTACAGTTCGCAGACAAACGGGGTCGAGCCACACGCAGACACTCGGTTCCCGAGGTGGCTTCTTAGGGACCAGAGCTGTGAAGCAGAATACTGAAGGCTGCGTCCTGTAACTCGAGTGTCCATCGTGTTTCGAGGAAGCAAGATCAGTCTGACTTTAGGAAGGAAAGGGATGGATGCAAGAGACCCGTCTTGACTACTCCCGACCGCCCGACCCGACGCCTCGTTCCATTAAGAATACAACTACCTTACGCAAAATTACGTTCTGAGAACAGAAAGCCCAGGACTCCACCACAATAAAAAAAAATTGCGTTTTAAGCAAAAAATTAAACAAAATGGATATAGTAAGTGGACTTGAGATAAAAGGGCTTCTTTTCATTAAGAAAGACCCAACGTAAGGACCAAAGGTTCCCTGTGGTCTTGACGAAGCAGTTACACGGAGCTTAGCATGACGGCTAGAAGTAACTCAAGGCCGTTGCACTGGGCTGAACTATGATAACTGTGTGACTCTGTGTCGTTAACAGGCAAAAAGGTGTATTACCCCCAAAGTCCAGCTTCATGAAACCACACAGAGAAATGACGAGACTGCGCCGTGAATAGGTGCGTAATTTTCAAGTCATCTAAATGTGCAGAAGCCTGTTGTCATCAATCTCTGGACAACCACGACATGCCTCCCAGTGGGAAATGCAAGAGCTATTCCCATGTGACAGCCGCCAACGCCCTGCGGTCCCCCGGCGGCTAAGCTCTGTTGGAGGCCCCACTCAGGGGGTCCCCTGCAACAGCCTCCTCTCGGACTCTAAGAAGTCAATGTGGACAGCTTTGCTTCATCCCCAGTTGGAAATTTCAATTCAAAGCTGAGAAAATGACCGGTCTTGACTTTCACAAAGTAGAGACCCATTTTATAAAACCCACACAAATCAATTCGCTCGACGATTTTTTTAAGGGGAGAAAGAGGAAAAAAGGAAAGAATGTGGGACTGTCCTTTTTCCTTCCCTAACATGAAGTGTTTTTTTTTCTTCCTGAGAGAGAAGGAAATCATCGACTCCTTGTTCAATGAGCAGCAGAACCTCCCCAGAAACGCTAATTCCTAGGGCCCTATGCGCAGTGACAGTTACTGGAAATAGCGTGGCCCACTGCTCTGAAGCCCTTCACCCTTCCACACTCTGTGGCTCAGGTGTGGCTCACGGTGCCACGGCGCGTGCTGCCCACTCCTCCTCTAGCCAGGACCGCCGCCCTCCGCTCAGATGCTCCTCCTCGGCTTCTATTTGTGACAGAGTCAGAAGGCCCGACGGGCTAGTTAGCGGACGGACTGCTCTCCCTACCGGAGCCATAACTATGGTCTGCAGCCATTTCTGGGGGTAGACAGATAACGTGAACTTTTTCTGCCAGGAACTCCTGATATTATAACAATATCACAAGCGTGCAGGAAATTTGGCGGGAAGTCCACGAAGGAGGGGCGCCGAGAAACGGGCCAGTAAACAAAAAGTGTGGAGACACACCCATCATTGCACGATATTCTACCAATACTCCCTACTCCCGCTGAGGCCTGGACGGGCCCCAGACAGCAGTGATCACCGCAGATAATTGCTGGATGGGCTGAGGAACCTCCAGAAAGGGGGGAGGGGGGAGTTTTAAACCTGACCTGAAGGCAGTAGGAGGAGCCAGGGAGATCCTTAAGCTCCATGAGGGAAAAACAAGTGTGGATGGGGAAGAGGCCATTTCTTAGGAACACACACAAATCCCCATGATCACGGTTACCCTGGGAACTGTGTCAGGAGCCCCCCACCCACCCCAGCTCACCAGCCTGAAGACAAGGCTGCAGGACAGACCCCACCCCTGGCCTGTACTTGTCTCTGGGTTAATTTCTTCCTTTGAGTCTCAGTTTCCCCAAGGGCAAACAGAGAGGACTGAGTTATTCAACGTTCATTCTGGTTCTCCCAGGCATCAGTACAAATCTGGAACAAGACACCTTCCTGGAACCCCAAGCTGGCAGCAGTGGTGCTCACGGGCAGGCAGTGCTCAGCCATAGGGGCTGTGGCCACAGTTAGAGCACAAGCCTTCAGCAAGAGGCAAGGGACTGTGGACCCAAGTGACCCACAGAGGGCAGGGGTCCTCCACTCAGGCCCAATCTACGAGTGAACCTACCTGACTGCCACACTGGCTTCTCACGGTCCTGTCGATTTTGGCAATTTCTTCATCTGGATCCTGCAAAAACTAACATAAAACAAACCGCCACCCCACAAGGAAACACACCAAACAGCCAAAGACAAAAACAGAGAAGAAAAAGAAAGTTGGTTAGGTTGTGAGCACCATTTCTGCAAACACAGACGCCCCTTAACTACTGCTCTATCAATAAGTACGTGGACAGAACCCAGCCTGGTACCCAGGTAAGATGGGGGGCCATCCTCCCCCACCTGTCCCCTTTGTACTCACCACGGCCACATTTGCCTTCCTCTTCCTGGAGCGAACTGAGGCATCGCTGCCACTTTCCTCTTTCATGGTGCCCGGCTCCTTGGCATCCCTGCGAAGCCAGAGTGGCACAGAGGTAAGGGTGAGCTGTCCCCGATCGGGGCCCACCCCTCCCCCACTGCCGCACACCCTGCCCTTCCCCGCAGTGGCCGGGCCACTCACCTCTCCCTCCTCTCCCTCGGCATGGCGCAGGGCGCAGGATCAGACCTCAGGCCTGGGGAGCACAGAGCCGGCGATGGGGTGAGGACGGCCGGCCGAGGGGACCGGGGCCC